AATAGGATAGAATTAGGAATAGAATAGAATGGAGTTAAAGATTAAGGATAGAATAGAATAGAACAGAACACAGAACAGAACAGAATAGAGTAGAATAGGCCTCTATTTGCCTAGTGTGATAGGACACACAAGGAATTTGTCTCCGGTGCACAAATTCTCAGTGGACATACAAGCAACAAGGTAACTTGGTAATCACCCATCTCGGTAACATCATCAGTGCTAGGAGGAGAGGAGTTTGTGGAGAGGAGTAGGAGTAGGAGGACTGTGGGGTTCTTAGTACTGTCTGAGATTGGTTGTTTTCTTGCAGACCTTTCACTGCCCATCTTCTGTGCTAGAAGGGAGAGGAGTTGGAGGAGGAGGAGGAGGAGGAGGAGGAGGAGGAGGAGGAGGAGGAGGAGGAGGAAGAAGAAGAAAAGAACAGTGGGGTCCTTGACGCTCTCTGAGCTTGATGGTTTTCTTACACATTTCATTACCCGCACTAGATAACATCATCAGTGCTAGTAGGGGAGGAGGAGAAAGACTGTAGTGTGATGATGTTACCTAGTTGGGTCATGATACGTCTGCCAGCTCAGAGAGTACCAGGGACCCCATATTCTCCATCCTCCTCCAGCACCAGCTTTCTCCTCTTTCTCCTTCTCTCCACAAACCCCACTCCCTCTTAGCACTGATGATGTTCCCTAGTTGGCTCATGAAACGTCTGCCAGAAAACCACTCAGCTCAGAGAGCACCAAGGACCCTCAGGAGAGCACCAATATACCCACGTATATAAGAATGCAGCTAGTCTTCTAGTTGCAACCATTCATTTAGTGACCGATTGAATTTACAGCGGTACCGACTTACGATTTATGTCCTCGCACATACAACTGTTGCAACATCCTCGCGGTCACCGGATCAAACGTCGGGCACTTGGCAACTGGCATGTATTTTGTGACAATCCAGGATTCCTGTGATCGCCACTTGCAACCTTCCCAGCTGGCTTCCAATGAGCAAAGTCAGTCGGGGAAACCAGACTCACTTAACAACCACGTGATTCACTTAACGGTGCTTTCATGGCATTTATGTCCAGGGTTAATATTTGTAATACCTGTAATCACCACCAAGACATAACCCTAACCCTTTTGTTGAATCATAACATGGAGTGCCTCTTCTGCATCTGGGTTTACAGAACCATTTTTCAAGTGCCATTACTACTAGTAGTAACTCTGTAGTAACCTCAAAGTAATATTGTAGTAACCTTGTAGTAGCCAAGAAGCCTGGACAGGGATATGTATGTGAGTGTGTGTGTATGTATGTATGTATGTATAATATGTCATACAAAAGCCTGGACAGGGATATGTATGTGAGTGTGTGTGTATGTATGTATGTATAATACATCATACAAAATTACAAAATAAAATAATAGGAAAAGAGAAGGGGAAAATGTGGGACAAGGGAACAAAAGAAAGAAAAGGCCTTGACTTCCAATTCCCTTTAATGCAGTAAGGTAAAGGTTCCCCTTGCACCTATGTGCTAGTTGTTTACGGCTCTAGGGGGCCGGTGCTCATCTCTGCTACAAAGCCGAAGAGCCAGCGCTATCCGAAGACATCTCTGTGGTCATGTGGCCGGCAGGACTAAACACCGAAGGCGCATGAAACACTGTTGTTTCCTTCCCACCAAAAATAAGGGTCCCTATTTTCCTACTTGCATTTTTTATGGGCTTTCGAACTGCTAGGTTGGGAGAATCTGGGACAAGTAGCAGGAGCTCACTTCATTTACGCGGCACTAGGGATTCAAATCGCCGAACTGCCGGTCTTCCATTCTAATCGACAAGCTCAATGTCTTAGCCACTGAGCCACCGCGGCCCATTTTGGTGCAGTAGAATGAGATAATTACATCAAACCACAACTTTTCCACTTTTACATAATAATATAAAACTAACCATTTCTATAACAACCAACCTACTCATCGGTAAAACCTCAAATCAGAGTTTCATATATATATATATGTATGTATGTATGTATGTATATGTATTATATGTGTGTGTGTGTGTGTGTATGTGTGTGTATGGGTACAGGTATGTAGGTCTAGGTGTGTTCAGGTCTTTTCCCATGTAAGAATAAGAGTATCTTGGTGACGTTTTGGCGAGGTCCCACACGAGAGGCTAATGGAAAAAAGATCACTACAAAACAAACGACCCAGGAGATTACAGCACAAGATCCAGGATATCTCCACAACAAAACTCACAAGGCCATCACACAGCCCATTATACCAACATCAACTCCATCCACCAATCAAGAGGCAGCAGCGCAGCCAACCAGCCCAGCACACCAGCCCCCACCACCAGTATTTATAGAGAGACGGCAGCTCCGATCACACACTGCTTGCACCGGCACGAAACCAAAAGCACCAGCCTGAGGATGGCGAGTGGGACCTCGCCGAAACTCCGCCAAGATACTCTTAATCTTACACGGGAAAAGACCCGAACACACCTAGACCTACATATAAATATTTTCCACCTCAAGCACAAAGTCCAGAAGCGGTTTCCAGCCTGGCCTGGGAAGCGGTGGAATTGTAGGATTCCCAGCCTTTTCTCGCTCCCTGCAGGCCAGAGCACCGATGCGCCCTTCGCTTCCCATCCTGGCCTCTCCAGACAAGCGGATGATCTAGCCCCCACTATGCCCTGAGCTTTCCCGGCTTAAGCCGGTGGCCTAAATGTCATCCGTGAGAATGGAGAGTCTTCCGGAATGAAGGCAAGACTTTGGAAATGGCAACAACCGGCACCCTGTAAGCCCAGTGAGGTCAGTGTTAATGAAAAGATGTTACCAGGAAGGCTGGACGCCCGCCAAGCAAACGTAATTAGCAGTATTTGCAGAAGAACGGAGTTTAACAACTGCTGGGATGGAGTGGGAGAGAAAGAGAGAGAAAAAAAATAACCCCCTTGTGGTGCTTTTCCAACCAACCCTCGTGTCTTGGAAAAGGTCCAAGGCAGAGTAACAACCCAGCGAATGACTATTTAATTAAAATCTGTCCAGGGCTGGGACGGAGAGTGAATGAACACAGCGGTGAAATACACCTACTTTTCTCCCGTAA